AGAACTAGTGTGCTTCCAAAAATACTACTACTACTACTACTACTACTACTACTACTAATAATCAAGATGCCAGCCAGAGGGATTTAGTTAAATTCTATACAAATAGATGGTAGCTGAAATGACAAGAAAAGAAAGAATGACATGAAGATGAACATTATAGCCTATGAATTCAGACACTCAGCATTTCTACTTTGTTGCACTGAAGTGGAAGGCAAGTGTTAAGCAGTGAAAGTGTCAACACAGCAACACAAGATGGAAGCAATGCCACTCCCCAACATTACAGGGTATTTTCGTTTGTTACTACGTGTAGGAAGACATGGACATGCAGAAACATCATAGAGGATTGCTTGCTTGGAGAACAGCTTGAGCAGAAAAGCAGGAAAAAAACACTGTTCTTAGGTGTTCTGTTGAATAACAACACAACTGTTTTCTTTTGATTCATTTGGCAACACGCAGATCAAAAATATTTCCGTTATTTCATGCTTGGGAGACCAAAAATCAGATAACACTCATGAGTAACATGGGGCTTTGTTCATACAAATTAATTTCTCCTACTGGCTGGCTGGTGATATGAAAATACTTGTTTCACCTTTTGCTCAGTGCTTCTAAATATATTCAAAAGACTTCCAGTCCCCTTCTCCCATTTAGATTTCCTTATTTCCTTTAAGATATGCATCAATATGATAACCCATCCATCCTCAGCAAAGTGATTAAGTATATCCAACCACCACACAAACAAATCTAACCTCAATAATTTATCCACCATTACTCACACCTCCTCCTTACACACACCTGTGTATGGATGCACAGGGTCATGTGTAAAGTTCGAAAACTTACATTCTAAAAACACTTTTCCTTAGCCCAGCACATGTTCAGGTGCCTAAAGACCATCAGATACCTGATGCATGTGCCTGCCTGCTGTGCAAAAGAACATCACAGATTGGATACTGATACACTTTGCAGAACTGCAGCAAGGCCATACAGAAAAATTAAATTCTCTTTTTTTTTTTTTTTTTTTTTTAAGCAAAGAAATCTGCCACCACCTCAAACTCTGAAAGTGTAATTGCAGACTCTGCTCTAAATGGCCCAGCAGCTCCAAGAGATGGAATGGCATGCCAAACAACACTATCACCCTTAAGGTGAGCATTATTTCAACTTTGAAATCCCTAAAACTAACACATGCTCTGAAAATGTGATGTTCTCTGTAATAGTAGTACAGGTGGATACAACCAACAGTTTCTTAATAAACCAGATGGACTTCCAAATACTCAGCACACAGCAAACAGCCCAGCGGACTTGTCATGGAGATAAAATCCCTCACAGCAGTATTTTCAGGCAGTGAATAAGGTATAAATTCTCAAATAGAGGTCTAAAGATGTCATATGTGAATAATCTATGAAGGACCGACTCAGCCCTCCTGACAATAACGGATTCACAGGCAAAATTATCTTCAAAATCACACTGGGATTTTTTTTCAGGAAGGAGTTGAGGAATAAAGATTGGGAACACTTGCATTCTTCTTTCCTCCTTCTGAATCTATTACAGACGAATGTCAGTCTTCAGCAATCAATCACAACACCATTCACGGGCTTTGAATTGATATAAGAAGCACCAAAAGTTATTTTTAAAGGGCAACGTGGTGTCAAACTCTGCAGGTTTCACCACAAGGAAATAATGAAATGCCCAGGCCACAAGGGAGGATATTTATGCCTTGCTGATGCTCCACCTTTCTTCTGGCAATAAGACAAAGCCTACCAAAGTATACCCAAGTTTATATTATTTGTATTAGTTCATATGAAAGTGTCTTGGTTCTTATCTGTAGTTTGTTAACTATGTCAAGTTCACAACCATTAGTTTTATAAACAACCACATTTAAGTTATTGATCGTGAGCACAAGGAAACATCAGAAACGTCTCACTGTTGAAAGTGACTTTGGATTTAGTGCTCCCGTATTTCACATGAGAGGAACAACAGTGAATCTTTTCTGAAATATTCTACAATGTTACTCTAAAAATGATCTTGCAAATCGTACTCCATCTGTATGCTGCTCAGACTAGAGCAGAATGAAATAACACAACGCAGTCACATAACTATCTTTTGGGAGATACTGTTTACAATCACATCCTCACACATACTCCAATTCATCTCCATAGCATCTAAGAGAAAATATGAAGAATAATTGCTATGTACTGAAGGTGTTCTTTTGTTGTTGTTGCTTCTTTACTTGCACATTTTGGAAGGATTATATTGAAAACTTGGGGCACCACAGAGCAGAAACTGGCTGCCTGGAGTACTGTCAAGAGATGAGAGGTCTACCTATTCCTGCACAGTGACAGATCAGAGGCTTTATGAGATACTGTGAGCAGTATCTATTTCAGACCATTTTCAAGAGCCCTTTCTGAAACACCCCAGGTAGGCTGAGTGGTCAGGTGGAAAAGGGAATGGATCGAGGAAAGCATGGCCATGCCTACAAGAGAGGCCAGGAGAGCAGACAGCCTACAGACATCCTTTTGGCATGCTGGGCATCTTTCCCATCATGTGGAATCCCTCCACCCACCTCGCACAGCCTCAACACTCAGCACCAGTGTTGCCTGAATCTGAATCTGTATCTTCACTAATGCCTTGGTAAGCGAATGGGAAATGGCATCAGACTAAGAGGGGATGGAAGCACTCAAGGTTTGCATCAAGATTTAAAAGCATTTTAAAAGTCAATCTGATGACAACAAGTAGAGACAAATACAAGATATTATACTTGTGAAGGAAAAATAAACTTAAAGCATAAAACAAATAACCAGACAAGAAAAAGAGAGTATATTAACTCTCAGCATGAATATGAGAGAAAAATCTACGAAAAAGCAAAGAAACACCTCAGCCTTGTGTGTTAAGTGTCACCAACAGTTCATAGCACATTATTATTCTAATTGGCTGGATGGTGTTGAAGCCTCTGAGGGAGTGCTACCTACTTTTGGATATTGTAAGCATGCAGAACAGGCTGAAAGAAAAGGGAATTGGTTGGGCAAATCTGATTCAAGGTCAAATTTGTTGGATTTCATGAGGTTAGACTAAGAGCAGGCTATATTTATACAGCAAAAGGAATTCATCCATTGTTCAGCTATCATAGCTAATAAAAAGCTAAATATCTCCCCTGAGATATTTTAGGGGAGGATTCCTCCCCTGTCACACACATACACCTCTGCTCTGGTTTTCTGTGTCAATGGACAGGGCTCTGTAAAGGAAGTCACCTCATCATTTGGATGTGGCATAAATATTACACTGCAAACGTGCACCATAGGCCACAATGCAATTAAAGAAACTAGACTGAAAAATTAGGAAAACTTTATAGATTTTTTTTCTTATAATAGATGCATTTGCTGAAAAAGACACTATTCTCTGAACGAGGTTAAAGTATAGCAAATTGGCTTCAAGAAAAATCACAAGACTTTCAATAAAAAGACGAAATAGCAACACTCTTAAGACAGCAGGTGGTAAAACGAGATACAGGAACGTTCCCCCATATAAAGAAATAAAACAAAACAGAGCTCTGTGATTTTACTGCCATTTTCCAGCACAACAATATCCCTAAAGGACTCAGAAAATAGGCTTCTAAATTTGTTCATATGGAGTACCAGAGATTAAAAGGGAAATGTTGAAGCCTGCTTCTCAGAACAACTAGAACGGGGGTGGTGCTCAGCAAAAATAGATAGTTTGCTTTAAACTAATAGTGCAACTTGGGAAAAAGCTGTGACATAGATGGAACACTAATTGAGATAGGATAGTTCATTAAATTAAACAAGTTTACACGTGAGTAATCTGCTCCTGAACACTTAGTGAGACGCCTTCAAAAAGCACTAGGAACTCATCCGTGGGATGTACAAAGCCCATTCACTTCTGAGAGAAGCAATTATTTGTTTTTAAAATACCACTCAGAGGGAAAAAAGAAGTGTCTTGTGAAAACTCAAGGGAAATCCTAAAGAGCCTACAGGAAGGTAACGGCTGCTGGGTATTTTACAGAGCAGCCCAGATCCTCCTAGGTAAACTACAGCTAATTTTATCATAAGCAGTTTAATTCACATGCTCAGCTGAAGAGAACAGAGGATGGAGGAGTGCCTGGCATTCCTGCCAGCTTCAGGTAAGGCAGTGCTGTCTCTGAGAGGCAGTTTGTTCTCTTGTGCTGATACCTTTCAACACGTGCATGTTTACCAAAGCAAAAGACAGCAGTGGAGTACAGGCCTCTAAGTCATGTTTCAGCAGCCAGAGAGAGATCTGCAGCTAGGTGCCCCATTTCAGCCCTGGAGAGCCGGTAAGAATGGGATCCAGCCCAGGATTAGTCACAAAATTAGTCACAGATGTTTTCTACAAAGCCATCATCCTGTTCCACAAGTTCCACCTGTATAGCTTCCTGCCCCTAAGTCCTCCATTCTGGAAATGGAAACTGCCCACCTACAGCTGGTGGCATCCCACTAAACCAGAGGGACTCCGTCAGCCTCCATCACCTCCTGTCTCTGCAACAAGCTGGGAGCAGCAGCTGGCTTTTAACACTGAGATGTGAGGAGCCTGGCTGGATCCAGGTTTGGAACAAATGATCTGCCAGCATTAGTTCAGGCATTCCTACCATATAGTTACAACAAAGGCTTGTCCCTCATAGAAACAAGGGCAGGAGATGGAGGCCTTCAGCCTTGTTCACGCTTGCTGAGCTCACATCACAGCACATAGCCTTATAAACTGAAACTCCAGTATTGCTGAGGCTCCTGAGGCGATGCTGAAAGGGCAGTAACCCCATGCAATGCCATCAGCAACCATTCCTGGAGGTGAGCAGCGGGATGCATTTATAAGAGGAAACGTGAAAGGCAGAATCAACAGCCAAGTTGGCCACGTAGCCAGCGTTCACTTTCAACAGCTCCGTTATCGGCTGAGAATAAAAGATGAGTGAAACCTGGGGAAGAAGGAGAGGAAAATGCTGCAAATAAAAGAAAAAAAAAAAAGGAAGAGGAACCACCCACCTGACAGGGGCTCCCCGGGACTGAGCAGGCTTCAGCATGACAGTGATGGTGGTGTCTGTCTCATTCAAGGGTGAGTCCGTGTCGTACTCCGGCATCGATGGTGCTGTAGCAGAACAAAGAGCAACACGTTACTGAGACACCAGTTGCTGCCTCTGGTAGTGATGGCAACGTGCTAGTAACATTTCTTGGAGACCGCTTAACATTTCTCGACTGAAACATCAAAATACTTTCTCAATGTTATGATTAAAATTGTCATAACTGCTTAAAAAATTTGTACACTCATTTCCTATTAAAATTAAACAGGACACCCAAATCTTCAAGCTGGCTTTGAAAATCCTGCCTTGAATTTTTAAGACTTAGCAGTCCTTTGGGATGGGATTATTTCTTCAAAATTAAAAGCAGACAAAGAACTGCATGGACATTGAAAGATGCCATCTGAGACCTGTGAATCAGTGGCAGGGCTGAAAGCTGCACCCAGGAACCCAGCTCTTGTTCACTATTTGTGCCAATGGATCAGAGTTCTCACATCTTAGAGAATTTTTAATGCACATGTGTGAGCTCTGTCTCCTGGATTAGCTGGAAGGTACAATATGAAGTGGGAAGGCATCAAAAGAGAAGAGCGTGGAATTATTTGAGCACTCAAATGGGTATTTAAGCCCAGTGCTTTAGTGGTGCGTCCACCAGCGTGTGTTGAGGGCAGTGACCAACCACAGTATCCATCACTCCAGCAGTGGTGTTCCCCATGGCAATATGGAAAACCGCTGACCACTCACATGTAGCCACAGACCTCTTCCTACTTCTGCCTTATTTCCTTCTGCTAGGGTCATTTCATCAAGGTGGGACGGGTTTCCCCAGGAAACACAGCCTACTCATTATGTTAAGTCTTCCTTCCCCTCTAGCAGACATCCCTTAGGGACAAAAAAAAGCCCAGAAGAATCTGAGCAGCATTGTATTTATTCCAAAGAGGTAAGCTTTGTTGAAATTTCCCTAACTATAAAGCAAATAGAAGAATTTACATGAAGAACATAGTCCCACTCAGTTAATCTACAACTCTCAAGGGCAAGCTGCATTGTGGGGGTCCCACATTTAATCCTCTCACAGCGATTTCCACAGTAATCCTGTTTACAATCAGGATTTTTATCTAAATGCCTGAAAAGTGTTAAGCATGGTGTTTCCTATTATCAGCTCAGCAACTGACTTCCCTATCCATAAGCTGGCAGCGAGTTCAGAACGAATGGCAGTTCCTTAGCAGGGATTCCTCTGCAGAAGGTGCTGTGCACTGAGGAAAGCAGTATGAGTCACTTAAAGATGCAGGGCACCAGCAGTACCCAGTACCTGACAGCACTGTACTCACTGGAAATGCCACAGTCAGAATTGTGCTGCTCCTGTACTTGGCAGAGGGGACACTGCAGTGTTGCAGGGCTCCCTGGGTACCATGAGCAGGTTGGGCTGTACCTCTGCAGGCCTGTTTTGCTGCAGCTTCCATTGGCCTAGTTGAAATGCTGCACTGGCGCGACTGAATGGCCTCTGCTGTGTCAGCCAGCTGGGCTGGTTCCTTCACAGAATGCACCATTTGACTTTCAGATGCCATTTAGTTGAGAAACAAATGGAAGCAACATCGTTTTTGGCAGGAGTAGCTAATGGTATCGAGTACAATTCAGCAACTGCACTGCATTTGTCACAAGATGCTGTAACAGGATATGGCATTTTTGTGTCCTCAACATGGAAGAGTTGGACAGTGCCTCATTAGAATGACTCTTGGCAGTGACCTCTGTAAAGCAGCAAGCGCTGCTCACTGATGTGGTGCCTATTTTGCTGAGTCCTGGCCAAAGAGAAGTCCTTGGGAATTCAGGCAACTAGTATTATAAAGTGTGTGATAAATAGTACATGAGCGTGATAAATAAATTAACAAACATCCACCCAGATAAACATACACATTCACACTTTCCTACTGCATAGGATGGCTTTTCATTTTAAAGCCAGCAGTTTCCAGACAGCCTTACAAAGACATTTTTATAAGTGAAAATAAGTCAATGCAAATCTCATTTTTCTCTCTGCTTCCTTTAGGACTGCATCTTAAAGTAAATATAACAGTAACTTCAAAATCCCGTGCAGAGGACTGACAATACAACAGTACAATCGAACGCCAGAGATGCCTGCATGGGGCCTGTGTCTGTCTACGACAAACAAGAAGTTTAGAGGACAGAAAAACAGAGATGATAAACTGAGCTCAGTGCCCATACATTTAATAACCACGCAGGCTTCTAACAAGATTTGAGCACCCCCTTAAAAATAAAATGAAAAGAAACTGAATAAGAAGAGAAAAGCACCCCCATTCCTGTGCTGTTTTGTTCCTCTGGCCGGAGGTGGGCAGAGCACACACCATGCCTTCCCTCTGCAGGCAGCCTTACAGCCCGTGGCTGTACTCCAGGTGGATGTGACATGAGCTTTCGCACTACATCTAAAAGGCTCTAGCTTTGCTGACGGTCAGTGCAGAGAATGGGGATATTTTATTTCTTTAAAATGTTAAACTGTCATTTACTGCTTTGGTCAGGTATTCTTGTATTGCTAGTTTTATTTACTATGACTGACTTCCCACTCTGGTCCACGTTGTGCTCTAATCCAAAGTAAGTAGCTGCTAACAACTTACTAACCAGTCCTGAAAGATAAGGGAAAATATGCAAAGCTGCATATTTCATCATTACAAGTGTCCCAAATATTTGATTTGATGTCACTGTGATAGATACTCCAGAAAAACATCCCTTAGAGAACCTGGCTTAGTGAAATTCTAATATCTAATTCTGCATATGTTCGTTCAATGTCATCTCAACCACCACCTTACCCATTTGAGCTGTTGGTAGCCAGACCAAGTTTCCTTGCTTCTACTGTACCCAGGAGCTTTCTCTGCAGTGCCTCCTGATTTCAGTGCCTTTGACATCCTTCTCTGCCTAGCTGAAGCCCTCTTTGTGGCCTTACTCAGGAAAGAAGCCATAAATGCAGTTTCTCTTCCTCATTTTCCTCTCTTTCAGCTATTAATTCAATTACTTCACTGCATCCGTTTTTGGTGCGTTCTTGAGATAAAGCCGCATTTTTGAAGGAGCTTCTGTGACCAAGCATTTAATTTGAATAATCTGCTGTAGTAAGAGTTCATCTATTGAACTAACAAAGGTTCCCATCTGAAATCCTCCTAAGGCATCCACAAATTAACCCCTGCATTTGTAATCTGAACAAACATAGATAATAGATTGTGGTCCCTATGAAACTCGTGGAGGAGACACCAAGCTGAACAGCTTTTTATTGTTTCACATATCAGCTGTAGATCTAAAGAACAAAGCCCTGTAAAGTTCCTTTTTTGTCTTCCCAAAGCAATACCTGAAATCTTAGTTGCAATCCGTGTTGTGATGGGTGGCCCAAAGCCCTTCACTGTGCTGGCTTTGATGGTGAATGAATACGTTGTCCCTGGGTATAATCCTACAAAGAGGTGATGCGTTTCATTCCTTAGTTTGAAGACCTTCCCTCTTTGGCTGGACAGGTCAGCACTGGGATCCAGAGACCCAACGGCCTTGTAAGTAATCTGCAAATGAAGAACAAGGACAGTAAGGTGATAGGAGTCTTCTGCACCCGGCCTCTGTCTGCGCCCCTATTTCACTCCCCTCTTGGAACTCAAGATACAAAATAAAAGGGCAGATATAAGGGTAGCATCTCCTAGTGAAGTGCCCTGTGTTTGGATGCTGGCAAGTGAACATCACCATTTTTCCAGGCGTTACTTTGGAAGAAGCTAATTTCTTCTCTCCACTAAAATCTCAGCGTGTGCTGATGTACAAAAGCCATCAAGAATTGCTTTTCGTTCCCCACCCCAAACTTCTGCAGCCAAAGCTGAGCACAGCACAACTTGCAGAATTTTTGTGAGAATTTCCCACAGCACAGGGGAACTTTTGGTGCACACAGGGATATGTTTTCCATCAAGCAGTTGTTGTTTTCAGGAGGCTTTTAAGAAGAAACAGGAAGCTTTTACTGACAACAAAATTGTCTGAATTCTTCTCCTATGCTGAAGACATCACACCAAAATGAAAGACTGAAATTAAATGACAGGTTCACGAGAAATAAATATCACCAAGCCTTTAGACAATAGTCCCACTCATTTTCCTTGAGCTCACGAGACAGTTGCTGATAGAATTTCCCAGTTTTAGCCCCGAGCTGCAGGCTTACAGATGGCAGCACGCCTGAGAGCAACCCAGCCAGGCCACAGCCCTGCGTGCTCTGCACTGCTAACGCGCCTTCAGGGGAACCCAGGCTGAACATCCTTTGAAATTCTGCTCGAGCTCCATTCTGTTTACCCATGACAGCCCCTCTGATACGCAGACACTTTCGAGGAGAGCTCATGACTTATTTACCAGCCAATTCCTTCCTCACCTTCCAAATTCAATCCAGAGGCAGCTCAATTTCAACTGAGCTGTCAATATAATATAACGCGCTCCGCTGCTCTCCTAACCTTTCCTTATATTATGGGATCCTCGCTTATTTGTAATGAAACACTATGAATAAATCAATGTATGTTAATATATGAAGTCTTCAATATTTTATGAAGGACTCCATGAAAATCTAATTCCCAGGTTTGCTGAAAGAGCCTTTGAAAATTTTTAAGTTGCTTGTATTGTGACAGGAGGAAAATGTTTATTTATTTTTCCTTTAAACAGAACAATATTTAAAAGATGGGGCTCTAATAGTAACAGAATAAAAAGGAATTATAAATAAGCAGCTTGTAGGTGGTCCCATGGCAAACCTGCTAACTTTTCCAGGAATTACAACCAGCTTTTGAATTTTTATTGCTTGCTAGAAACCTGAGGAAGAGACAGCACTTGGTGCAGTGATTATTAAAACAGGGCAATTAAATGCTGGAGGAGAAGTGTTTAGTCCTGCTCCTTGTCCTCAGGCATGGTGAGGTGCACACAAGGCACTGCTGTGGCACTTGGAGGGAACAGCACCTGCGCACCTCCACCAGCAGAACCCGAATGGGGTCAAAGACCTTAAACACAGAGACGCGACCCAGCCAAGGCCCCAGCAAACTCCAGTATGAAAAATGCATGCACTGTGTTTGTTAAGAATGAACTGATGCAGTCCATATGCTCTATTTGTAAACAGCGTGTTAGAGAAGTGACAATTGTGTATGCTTCTGCAGGAGAAGGAAATAATGAGGAATTTGGGAAACGGTGAGGAACATCACAAGGGCACCAGGCACCACGCTCACAGGACATCCTGTGCAAAACCACAGCTGTTTGTTTCCAACACACTGCACAGAAGGCCGTAAATGAAAGTGGAAGATAAAACTATCCTTGATCTGCATTTAAATAAATGCATTCACTTACCTTTACTAGTTCTAAAGTTACTACAAAATGAGATATTTTTCCTTCATCAATATACATGCATATCCCCTAAAGGCAAATGGGTAAAAATGTTTTTGAGAGAGAAAAAGAAGAACAATAATAAGGAAAATCATTGCTATTACAAAAAAAAAAAAAAAAAAAAAGGGGAGGCTTGCTGCTCACGAAATGAGCACAAGGAATCTTAAACCAGCACGGGTTCAACTCATAAAAAGTGGGAAGGAGCAGCACTTCAGAGAACACATCCAAGATTATTTGAGGTTACAGCTTGGGCCAGTTTTCAGAAAGACTGTTCACTTACATCAGTCATTTCCCCAAATGAGTTTTTTTAAGGATATGTAAACTGTGGTAAAGACACACACCTGACATAACCAAAGCGCAAGACGGTTACTGCAGCAGACACCATTCACATTACTGTGGATCTTACTAACCCAGGTGAGAAAGAACAATCCCTGTCCCCAAAACGTGACACTTAATTTTAATGTGGAAACAGGGAGAAGGGAAACAAAAAGCAGTAGTACAAAACTTATCCAAAACAGTGGTGATGCAGTGGCACAGCTGCCCATGGAGGTGGTGGGGTCACCATCCCAGGAGGTGCTCCAAATCTGTGGGGATGTGGACTGAGGGACAGTGGGCATGGTGGGATGGGTTGGGGCTGGACTTGGCGATCTTAGTGGCCTTTTCCAACATCACTAAGTACATGATTATATGATTTTATTGCTCATACAAGAGTAACTCTCAAGCTCTTCTCTGCTGCCCACAGTAAGAATGATGAGGTGAGGGAGGTACTGAGGGCCAGAATGCAGCTGAGCTCCCAGCTCTGCTGATGGCCTCCTTCACAACCATGTTCTCTGAGCCTCTGTTCTGCCATTTATGAAATGAGGGCTATTACACTCCTCTGCACGAACATTGCTGAGGTTGAGGGCTTCTATGCATTTCCATCAGCTGAGTGCTGATGGTTAAGCAGCAAAATCTCAGGTGAAATGTGAAGTGGTCCCAAAAACAGAGCACTGCTTGGAAAAGGAGGTGAATTCTCTTCCAGCTCAGAATAAAACAGAATCATTTTCCCTTCTACAGCAGCCAGCCAGGCTGCTTGCTGCTGGCCAGCCCCACTGCTCAGCCCCCAGGCTCATCATGCCTTTCTCATGGCCAGAACAATCTGTAATTGTGGAAGCTTTGGTATTTCTTCACCAAAAGCATCTGCAACGTGCTACAGCATGTACCTGTGTTTCCTTACAGAACAAAAAGATGCTGTAACAAATCAGTGACAAATTGGGCCTCATGTATAAGTAAGTGGATGGAGTTGGTCTGTTTGTTTTTATAAACTGTACGTGCATCACCACTACTTTTCTGAAGGCATCACTGTAGATCTGCCCATGAATAAATCCATCAGCAAAGCATCCTGATGCGAAAAGCTTCTACAGGCACTGACTGCGTTCTCATCCCCACGTTTCTCTAAGGAGTCTTCCCTGTGGATGGAAGAAAACAACACGACAACACACTGCATTCCCATCCCAGATCCAGAGAGTTTGTCAGCTCAGTGCTGGCTCAGGTTGTGCACCACGATGTGTCAGAGGCTGACAGGGCACAGCTGAGGATCATCAGCTGATGGCAAAGTGAGAAGATGCCGCTCTTCCTCTGAGCCAATATAAAGTTTTGAAGGAGGAGAAGTTTCAGGGAATCAAATGCAGAACATTTTTCAATAAGGAAATTTCTGACTCTACAGAGTCATCTAAAAACGCATTGAAACATGTGTGGAGAAGAAATATGGCATTTCCTACAATAAGAAGGCTGCTGAAATAAGCACCTGCTTTCCTTGCTGGTATGCTAACTATTTATCTTCATTTCTTGTTCCAAGTGTCAAACCATTTCATTACAAAATAAACAAGAGATTCTAATCTAAGAAAATGATATGACTCAATCACCAGACAACAGCTGCTCCAAATTATTTTAAAATAATCTATTTTAAAGACAAGTCATGTCATATAACACTTGTATATTCTGAAAAAAAAAAAAGAGACAATAAAATTAAACATTTAAAAACCTAGACAGAAAACAAACAACAAGAGGCTCAAAAAGAAGAATTTCAGTTTGATTGAAAATATTGAAAATATTTGTTTTGACTCTGATGCAGAATAAATGCAGACACAAAGAGGAGGAAACGTCTCACAAGACGTTTTCCTTTCCCAAGGAAAAGTTTTATTGGCCAACAAAGCTGCTATTCTGATCACAGCAAGTGCCAGTCCAGGCTACTGCACAACAAGACTGAGAAACAAAGAGATCTTAAATCTTCCTTCCATTTTCTTCATTAAGAAATGTTTCTTAAATTAAAGCACCAGGAGCAGTAAATTGAAAGTAATCAAAAAGATCAGGAAGCAGAGGGACTCAGGGAGGTAAGCAAGAGCCACGTCCCCAGCACAGCAGGAGGGTGAGTGACATCCCCGGGGTGCAGAGAATGCACTCCAGACTTTGCTCAGTTCAGTGTTCATCTGAACTGCCAAATCCAGCCAGGCAAGTCCAAATTCCTCGTGGATAAAATGTAGAACAGGTCAAGAGAACAAATTCTTTCTGATACTTTCTAGTAAGCTACTAACCCCTACAGGGAACCCCCTGTAGTTGATTTCCAAGTGTTTACTGACATATCTGCTGTGTTAGACTATGGAGAATAAACCACGACAGGTCAGTGTCAGAAACAGGATGGTTATTGAGTTCACTCCTTGTTGTTTAAGCAGACATCCAACCCATGCCAGTGCAACCAGTCCCACCAAACAGCAGCTCTCCTGTTTACTCCATCCTACTCTGAGTTTTATACAATTCAAAGTTCAGAACAGCAACCCCTTGAAATCACTGACCAAACACCATGTTAACAGCCACAAAATGAAGACATAACACCGAGAGCAGGAGCACAGCTCCGCTCTCCTTCACAGCGCCTAATTTAACACAATTTGATGGGGGGAAGTGAATGCTTTACCAGCTGTCATCATCTCTGACTGTAAAACTTTCTATTATGATGTAAGACTTCCATCGTCAAAGGAAAGACCATAGCAGAAATAGTAACTAAACTAGGAAGCACAGGGTTGTTCTGCCCTGCAAATTTTAATTCAGAAGGAAACACATAATAAAAGTGTAACCAAGTCCTTCTTAACTTGTGTGATTTTTCTCTACCTCTCAGACGTACAGGCAACTGTGTCCA